AGGTTTGCGCGTGTGCTTTTTTTTTTTTTTTTTTTTTTTAAGTGGAGAGGGCAGGTCTTTTCAAAAAATGTTTAAAATCTTCCACTATACCTTTAAATCCACTCAATGGAATCGAATTCAGTGCAAACCACTAGAAAACACGCTGGCTTTGGAAATGTTGGCCCCTCTAGAAATCTCAAAGCTGAAGTAAAGATCTATGTTAGATGTTTAGGAAAATCCAAATAGCGAAATATACTAAAGTTAAAGTTACCACAAAAGCTAAAAGCTAAAGTTAAATCCTAACCTGTTAATGATCAGTAATATTGAATCAATTTGAATTACCCACAAAACTCTGCTTTACAGTGACTAATCTTTCATTTACATCTTTCAGTTTAGCCTTTAATGTAAACCATTAATGAGCGGATTAGCTTAGTGAATGGAAGAATAATTTGAATGCTGCAATTGTTCTTAAAAAGAAAAACATCAACAACTGACTAAATTCTGTTCAATGCAGACTTACAGCACTGCTCTGTGTGCCAGGGAGTCGGCCCACTGACTGGCGACGGACAGGAACACGCTGGTAAAGAAGTAAAACCAGTTAAACGACATCCAAATGGCTGACAGATTTTTTAAAGCAACTTTTGGATGCAACTGTCCATCGACACACAAGATTCAAAAGGATCATTTCCTTCAAGGTTGAACCGTTCATGTGGTTCCAGTGTGTTGGAGCACTGTTGCATCCAAAAAGAACAATAAAAAAAAAAAAAACAGGACATGTTGCTGGAGGACTGGGGCTGCAGGCCTGTTTTAGACAGTCATAAGATGCACATACATGAACCTGAGCAGGCGGTCCCAGTTCTGAGGACTGAGAGGGATGGATGTTGAGTCGGGCCGGAAGCTGCTGCACTGGTCTCCGTGGCGACGGAGGCATACGTGTACCAGAGCTTGTGATTGGCTGCTCTGTTGGAAAAGCCTCAATTTGGCTCCCCTCAACTGAAATGTTTAAGTAAAAAATTAATAAAAAAAAATATATATAAATATATATCTATACCTCTCTCTCTATATATATTTCTCTCTCTCTCTCTCCGTCTCTCTCTCTCTCTCTCTCTCTCTCTCTCTCTATATATATATATATGATTTACCATTAATAAATATAAAAAGTTGAAATACATGAGGTAAAATATAATGTCAATATGTATAGTGTTTGAGGTAGTAAACCTTTTTTTAACAAAAAATAAATAAAAAAGTAAGAGGTGTGGATATCTAGAAAGAGTTCTAGGTTCTCTGTGGAGGTTGGTTATGTTTTCTGCATTATAATTAGAAATCCCAAAACATAACTTTCTTTACTTCGTTTATGCAAATTACTTTATACTCACACGTGTATATATATATATAAAAGAAATAATTTCAGGGTTTTTAGACATGTTTTAATTACAAGTTTCCATTCTATTTAATTTGTGATACATATTTAAAATACAAATAGAAAAGTTTGTTGTGAATTAATGGTACATATTCCAGGTAAGGGTTTAAAAATAGTGAAAAACAAATCAGATGGAAAGAAAGACATAAATGATTAACAAATAGGAGCAAAAATGTTGGAAATGTTTTAAATCAGCTTTTTGTTCCATACCAGTCAAAGTAGGAAAAGTAGAAAATAAATGCAATGAATTGAAATGTAATAGTGTGACTGTTTTTTGCTTCTCTGTTTTTCACCCATTTACCTTTAGCGAATATCCATAGTAGTTGGCCGCTTATTGTTTATTAGACATTGTTCAATCTTTAAAAGGTAATTAAAGGCCATAGCTACAGTTTTCTTCTTTCCAAAAATCACATAAAGGAAGCAAAACCAGGGTGATCATCAGTTGAGCTTTTAAATGTTTGTCCCAGCTTTTAAAAGCAATGGAGCTCAGAAATCATGCAGGGGTTCCTGTTTCATTCTAAACAGGTACGTTAAATGTTTGCTAATGCTAACCATGTTAGCATTAATGGACCTGACAAAAAAATTCTAAAAAGCTATAATAATTAAAATTGTATAAATCCTGATTTCATTACGTAGATCTAAATAAAATAAAAATTCCTGATTCTGTTTTAATAACTGGTCTGTGGTGAAGGAAACTAATTTGGCCAGTTTCACTTCTCTTCTCCAGCAGACCTTTAGCATCCTTTCCAGACGTTGTTTGGGGGCCGATAACTAATTGGATGCTGAGTGTATGTGGAGACTATGATTCAGATCCGTTAGGCTCATGCTTTTGACAGGGTTTCCTGGATCTTACAGCTCGGTGTCTGGGAATCTGCGGGCCTCTGGGTGGAGTCGGAACCCCCCAAACTCTCTTCTGTCTCGGTGCCCGGGTCTGTGACATCAGCTCCCTGGGAAAAATGAGGAACAAAGGACAATAATGAAGAAAGCGAATGGAAAAAGAAACATTTGCTGAAATTTAAAATGTGAATAAAGTTCAGGAGACGGGGAAAAATAGGGGCGTGGGTGGCAGATTCGATGAAGTGAATGACGGTTCCCGGCACATGATCACATCGACAAAGACAAATAAGGAATAAATGAAGAGAGATTCCTTTTAGTGCAAAAACATTACTGTAATAGATGCGTTAAGGTAGGAGGCATATAAATGCCTCATCATGACTCTAGTCTTTGGTTCCAGCATCCCTCATTCTTTTAAACATTGAATTTGTAAAACAAAAAAAAAAAACAAAAAAGATACAGACACTGATTAAGACACAAACAAACTCAAGGAATAACAATCAGTTTGTTGAAACTGGCTGGTTTTCAGCTTGGTGGAATCTGACCAGGACAGTCACAGTCAAAATCTAATATAAACGATAGAGATCTACCTTTATAGGTTTAAGGCTGCCTGGCTATTCTGGTATCAAACGTTTTTTTTGGTGCAGTGATTATTTTTGGGCCGATGTTTAAGCTTTTACTTCTCGCACTTCCAGGATCAAAAAGGACAGTAATTACAAATGTTACACTGGTCTCAATTTCAACAAAAACATTTACAATGGAAAGCAAATGGAGGAAGCAGCAATGGGTGAGCTTCATGCGATCTCAAGGCCTTGATGCTGAACCTGCTTATTGGCTGATGTCAATACAAAAAAATATCGGCCCAAAAATATCAGACGGCCAATGTATCGGTCTATCACTAGTAAGCCGTACCAAAAAATACAACAAATCCTTCAGTGTGAATTATTTTACTGATTGAGATGTCTGGAGTTTATTTAGGGAACAATGAGCACTGATGATCCAACAAAGTTGCTCCATTGTCCTTTTATGCTTCCTGTTTGCTCTTGTGACATTATGAATATAAAGATATTGAAAGCTTTTTAGAAAAACAAACAAAATTATATATAAATATAAATATATATACATATACATATTAGGGATGGAACGGTTTATGAAAACTGTCCGAACCGTTTGGTTCGACTGTCTCGGGTCGATTCGCATGTGTTGCGTTCGGTTCATGCGCTGCTCCTTTTTCTCATAGAGGAAGCGATTACACTTCAGAGCAGAAGGTGGCGGTACTGCGACCAAAGCCAACCGCTAGTAGTAAACAAGAAGAAGAATCGAAGCAGCGTAGCCGGATGTAGCAGAAAAAAATCAGTTGTTGTGGAGATTTGTGTGGGTATGGCGAGTGGGAAAGAACAGGA